AGTTCAAACTTATCTTACTAGTTTAGTCAAGTGTTGGTGCCCCTTTTATACTAACAATTTGAAGTACAATTTTTATTTTAAAAAAAGATCAAAATTAGTTTATTTAGTTAGATAAAAACGATTATTCCAACAAAGTTTAGTATTGATACTAAAATTAATATTCCAACATAGGCCAATACTAAAATTTTTCACTAAAATTAAAATTTTCTTAGAATTCTAGGTGGGATTAAATGATTTCAATATTACCTTTTTTAATGATTTATTACTGTTGAAATTTTCGTTGAAATATTATTGCAATTGTTTTTGTAGTTAGTAATTATTATTTTATTGAAATTAGTGTTAAAAAGGACAATTTAAGTGTTTGATATAAATTTTTTAAGCATTTACGATTGATTTTTTATGTACATAAAGAAAATGAAGGTAAAATAGTTTATAGATGTGGTATTTCTAGACTCTACTAATGAGATCATGAACAGTCAAAAATAAAATCAGAAATGTATCTACCATTTGAATAACTTCGGAATCTCGTCCATCTTGGTGATAAAAAAATTAAAAATAAAAATAAAGAATTTGTTCTAAACGTACTATTGACCTCACAATACGATTTTTCCCCAAGTATATCAACAATTTCAAAGTTGATTAAATTAAGAAAACACCGACTTAGATGAAAACATGTATGATGCAGGTAGCATGATTGCTCAAGATTTGAAGAAAATATTCCAACAGTATGATAGTATATCTCTCTTTTCTTTCTGTCTCTTTTTCTTTTTGGGAGACGAATTAATTACTAAGAGCATGATTGGATATAAAAAGTTTTTGTTTTGATTGGATTTTTGGTTTGGGTTGGTTAAATTTGAAAAAGTTGGTATGGTTAATTGTTAGTGGATATATTTAAATAATATTTAAAATAAATTAATTAAAATTAAATTAATGTAAAAGTAGGAGAGAGAAGATGTGATGTGATGGTTAGTTAAAATTATGTGAGTTGATGAATAGTGAATTAAGGTTGATATTGTGTGTAAGAATGATTGATTGATATTATTTAATTATATTGATAATATTGATGATAGTGGGGTTGAGTTAAAGTTGAGTTAAAAAAAGTGGTTGAGTTAAAAATAATTGGATTTTTTTGGGTTGGATTTATATCCAATCATGCTCTAAAGATCCAGAAAATGACCCACCAGCCTTTTACCCTAAACTGCCTAATGTTAAATTTAATTATTTACCTCTTTGTTTTTCTGCTTCTTTAATTTTGTTTCTTTCTACTTGACAATTGACATAACATGTGTGTCAAATAAATTGAAAAATAAAATTCAGTTTACAGAAGTTTCTGAAAAGTTGACCTCGTAGTTTGAGCTTCAATTGTTTATTTAAAATGCAACAAAATGTTCATCGGATTTTTTTCAATCAAAACTGTTTCAGAAAAAACGGCCAGTTCATATGGTATTTTCCAAGGGGTTTCTGTTAAAATGTTCTGTTCGTGTGACGCCAAGATCATTAAATTTTTTGTAGGTGAATTAGTTTTAGAGCGTTTGGAGTTAGTAGTTCAAATTTTAAATAGATAATCATCAAGAAAATGATCTCAGATACTAAATTTTGAGAATTAATTGCATGTACACCGAAGTCTAAAGATTGAATTTTTGCCCGGATAAAATTGACTTTCGGATCACACTTTCCGACCATGCCCCATGAGTGATAAAGTGTATACAAATTGTACAACTTTCATTTTTTATCTTGATTTTCTATTTATGTAGAGTATTTGTAAAATAAAATGTTTCTTGGTACTTAAGAGTTGTTTCTTAAGTATTTTAACTATCCATAAATTATTTACATATGTTTCACATGTGTTCGGACTCTCCTTTCAGTCTGGTAACAAAGATATTTACAAAACAAATGATTAAAAAAGATATTTACGACAAAATAAAAAAAAAACAATTATATACATTCTGACCCAATTATCAGACCGACATAACTATTAAATCAATATACTCATTTTCTATATATATATATATACTTTCATTTGAAATTATCATACTTAAAAATGTATTATAAATAAACATATAGCATTTAATAGTATATTTATATAATAAATCTACCCGCGTAACACTCGAAAGGCTGACTGGCTGACACACATGATCGTGTGTTTTGACCAATGTTTTAAATATCATACTATACCGGTCGGTATTACTGGTAATACCGGATACCGGTGGTCCGACCGGTACGGTTACACTCTAAATACCGTTTTGGCCAAAATATCGGTTTATACCGATTTTATACCGGAAAATACCGGTTTTACTGGCAAATACCGGTCAAAATACCGGTTTATGTCAATTTATTTTTTAAAAAATATTTTTTAATATATTTTCATTAATTTATTTATATAAGTTGAAAATTCTACACATAATTTTAATATGTTTACATTGTTATTAAATGTTAATTAATTTTAGTATTAGTTAAAGTTAGTTTTGTATATCATTTATATTATAATAATAAATTAATTTAATATTTATTGAAACCGATAAAATAGATGGTAATACCGGTTGAACCGCGTACCGTTGGCTCGTCTGGTGTATTTACCAGTTAAAACATTGGTTTTGACAAACTGTGTTGAAGTAGCATTTATTTTCGCCACATACGCCTACTCAATACTCATATAATCAATTTAAAGCCAACCGTACTAATGGGCTATAGTTCTGTCTTCAAATGGACTTCATATACAAGCCCAAATGAACTACTTGCATTTTAAGATGAGAAAATTATAGAATTCATATACAAACTAGTACGAAGCATATACGATATACGAGATAATAATAATATATTAGCTAACTTAAAGCAATAAATGAATATTGATTAGTATAATATATGTTTGAATACTAATATATAGATTTTATCTTTTGTTTTATATTTATGATATATAATAGTTTAATATACGATTTATATATTTATTTCAATTGTCATAAAGTCGCTTTGATTTTAGAGTTGTTATTTAAAATTAAGAAACATGAAAATTAACATATTGGATATTATTAATAAATAATACTCACAAAATATCTCTCTCTCTAATTTTAAATGTGAGACTTATCAAATTTTCAAAATGAGGCCTCCAATTCTAAATTGCGAATACCGTTCGTTTGTATATGTCTCCCACCTTCTTCACCACTGCTTGTCAAGGACCTCGTTCGTCTGCCTCACAACCCTCTTCCATTCGGCCCTCACCCTCCCGTCGATCTCCCACTCCTCCGCCAATGTCAGTTCCGGCGACATCCTCATCCAGACTAGCGGGTACCACTCCGGCGATTGCAAGATCTCATCTCCACCCCATGCGCCGCTGCCGACTGCGGATGGATTTTTCTCCCCACGAACCTCACAGTCCAGTGGCGGTACGCCTCCGACCAGATCCTCCTCGACGACTACGTCATCATCATCGGCGGCCACCATGCCTTCAGCTAGGATAGCCCTGCTGGCAGGGTTGGCGGTGTTCGGCAGTTGGCGTTCTATGTGTGTGTTTTGTGTGTGTATTTGTGTATGCATGTTTATGTGTGAGAGAGAGGGGAGGGTTGGTGGGATGGGGTGAGGCCCACGTGTGGGTTAATGAGTGTGTAATGTTCATTTTGCTTTTACTGAATGGTCAAATGTATATATTTTATCATGACATATCTATTAATTTACGATATTGCCACCGCATATTTGGTCATTATCTATTAAATTTTGACTTCATGATGACCATTGATATGTTAGACCCAGTGGTCCAGAATTATTTTTGTATCTTTCATTATAACTCATTCTTATATATATATATATATATATATATATATAGAGAGAGAGAGAGAGAGAGAGAGAGAGAGAGAGAGAGAGAGAGATACATTTTTATTTTCACATTTACAATTTTTTTTTATTTAATTACAAATGGACTAACAAATATTACTCTTTATGTATGATTGATTTGTGGTTTATTTTCTGTTATTGGTTTCTAAGATGCATTATTTTTTAACTTATGATTCGTTGATGAGTGATTTACGTATGATTTTATTTTGAATATCTTATTTTTTTTTAAATATTTTCAATGACAAACGGGGGTTGACGGGTGCGGTCCCACGGATGAAGCGCACCAAATCAGAGAAGCCTA